AATTCAAGTTTATAAAATGCCAAAATCTGCTCTTATCTCATCTTCTTAATTGTCTCTCACTGAGAAGCTTGGCCAACCACTTCTCAGATGGGATCGTGAGTTCTCTGTGACCTCACTGGTAACCTAATCTCTCAGCTGGCCCAAGCCTAAACCCTCCCCTCTAGAGGAAGGGTAAGGTGGGAACTGGGGTCTTATGAGCACCAGAGAAGCGGTGAGGGCAGCAAGAAGATAGGGAAGGCAGAGGAAACGTTCGAAAGTGAGGCCAGGGCAGTCTCAGCCAGGACAGGCGGCAAGGAAAGGGGAAGCCAGACATGGAAGGGGCATCAAAGGCAGAAGGAACAGCATGGCCTGGGCCCCGCCTCCCTTTTCATCTCCTGCTGAGTTCAGAGAGGATCTGTTATCTTTTTATGAGTCTTCACCCTCAAGGAAATAAATACTGCATTAGAAGGTTCATTTCTTCTCCCTCCAATGGAAAGCTCAGCCCTATTGGAAAAAATAGAACCCACCACCCATAAACAGCCCTGGCTTTTCCAAAACCCCAAAGCTGGTACTCAACAGCTGGCTCACATCAGTACCACTGGTCCTGCCCCTTAGGACAGAACATTCTGCCCCTCCTCCAGGGGTACCAAGGGTCAGATTTAAAGAGTCCTCAGAAATCATTACCTAGAATGCTTGACTTTTAGGTGGGGAAACAAGCCAAGAGTGGAAAGTGATCTAAGTAAAGAAGAGTGCTTAGCCACTTTTATAGGCCTTGGAGAAATATCCAAATCTTCTCCCGCCTCGTTCATTCATTCAGTACGCCTCTGTAAAGATACAGGCAACATGCTCAGAATTAGAAGTTAGATGCCTCCAGCTAACAACCCAAAAGCATGATTTTTGTCCACTAGAATGTTTTTAATTTTTTAATTAATTGGTAACATTTAAAATTATCATTTTGAATAAATACACAGAAAACAGATATCTGTCTTCCCTTCAAAAAAAAAAATCAGAACTGGCCCTGGCTGATGTGCCTCAGTGGATTGAGTGCCAGCTTGTGAACCAAAGGGTCGCCAGTTCGATTCCCAGTCAGGGCACATGCCTGAGTTTTGGGACAGGTCCCAGGTAGAGGGCACATGAGAGACAACCAAACATTGATCTTTCTCTCCCTTGCTTTGTCCCCTCTTTCCCCTCTGTTCAAAAATAAATAAAATATTTTTAAAATAATCAGAACCACACCTCTTGAGCATAAAAACGTGTTACTCTGGAGCCCACTGCTCAGCCTCAGGCCAGCTTCTCCCTGCACCTCTCTCCCACACTTCCTGTACCTCACATGTTGTAAGAAGCTCACCTTGGCTTGCTGTGCTCTTAGGTAATTTTTACATATGCTTATTCCCTCTACAGCTGCAGATCCTAAGCTTAAATGTGCATCTGAAGCACCTGGGAGTTCAGTAAAATACAGACCCAGATTCTGTAAGTCTGAGGTAGAACATGAGATTCTTTATGTCTAGCAAACTGCCAGGTGATGCTGAACCACCAAACTGGGTGGTTCTGTCTCAGAGTCTCTCATGAGGTTGCAGTTATCCAAAGGTCTCACCATAGCTCAAGGACCTGCTTTTCATAAAGGCTCACCATGTGGCTGTTGGTAGGGATACTCAGTTCCTAGGCACAGCGTCCCTACAACATGGCAGCTGGCTTACCCCAAAGCAGGTGATTCAAGATAGAGAAATTATAACCAACACGGAAACTGTGATCTCTCGTAACATTCTATCAGAAGTGATATACCATCACTTCTGCCACATACTACTGGACACACAGGCCACCTGTGGGACAGTGTGAGAAGGGACAAGGGTGTGAATACTAGGAATCAGGATTATTGGGGGCCATCTCAGAGGCTGATTATCTGTCAGGGGCTGAGTTGACAGATAACATTCCTATGTCAAAGTCCTAATCTTGGGTAACTCAGAATGTGATTGTATTTGGCAATAGGGTCTTTAAAGGAGTAATTAAGGTAAAGCAAGGCCATTGGGGTGAGTGTTAATCCCATATGACTGGTGTCCTTTTAAGAAGGGGAGATGGGGATACAAACACACACAGAAGGAAGGTGTGAAGACACAGAAAGAAGATGGCCACCCACGAGCCAAGGAGAGAGGCCTCAGAACAAACCAACCCTGCCAACACATTGCTCGTGGACTTCCAGCCTCTAGGACTATGAGAAAATTTTCTGTTGTTTATGCCACCCTGTCTATGGTACTTGTTATGGCAGCCCAAGCAAAATTATACGTCCATATATCAGGTGCTTTCTCTGCTAAATAGAGATGGTCACACTCACCTCAAAGGGCTGCTGTGACGTTGATGCCTGTGCCAAGTGTCCACGTAGCACCCAGCACAGAGCAGGCCCTCGAGATGGCAGTTTCCTCCACCTTCCTCTCAGCCGCTGTCTCCTCAGTTCATCCCAGTGGGAACTGGGATCCTCTTCAAAAACCCATGGAGTAATCCTGGAGCTGGGCTGTGGTGAGGAGAATCAGGTGGTGGCTGCCAGAGGAAACTGTTACCTGCAAGGGAACTGTTACCTTCGAGGCTTTAGTGCCTTCAGGCAGATTATAGGGAGAAAGGTTTAGAGCCCCCTCCCCCCAAGGCAGTAATGGAAGGGGTTTACCTCTCAAGCTGCTTCCTCTGTCCAGCACTCTGCACACGGTCATGTTCCCTCTCCCCAGCATGCCTCTGGTCTGGAGGTTTTTCAGTTCCATCTCCCAAATGGAGCTCCATGTGTTTAGTAACTTGTGCAAGCTCACATGGCTATGGCGAGGTCAAGCAGACGTTCATGCCAGGTCACCTACTCTGAAGCCCGTGCACCGTGCCCTCTTCCCCCTGCCTCACAGCACAGACTTTGAGGTCTCCAGCCTCATTCTGTGTCCCAGCACACTGTCTGGCACAGAGGAGCTACTCCGATCATATTTGTTATATACACAAAAGAGTGAACGAGAGATAAAATTTAATGAAAAAAATGAAACAGGGTGGCCACAATAAAAGGGACATTTCACCCAAGTTTCACTTCCTCCAGGAAGCCCTCCCTGACCATTCCACTCACAGAGGTCTGGCCCTACATGTGCCCATCCAATGGTACCTAACAGGTATGTCAGCAAGAGCTGTCAGAATTCAGGGACCACGGAGGCAGGTCAAACAAGCTACGTGGAGGGACCTGTACCCACAGGCCCTAGGAAGACTTGTCATGGGGCAGGCATGCAGCCACATGCTCTCCATGCCATTCATTTGCCCTTCCCAACTCCACATGAAGGAAAGAATTCTTAATCTTGCCAAGCTCCATCTCCATATGCATAAGGGAGGCAAGTTACTTGCCTGAAATCACAAGACAGAACACATAGCAGAGCTAGAATGCAAGCCCAGGCCTATCTGACACTCGGGCTCTTCCCTGGGCAGCCAGCCCCTCGGAGGAAGGCTGCCAGGGTCATCAGGCCAAGCACTGCAACTGGAGGTCAAGGCCGTAGACAGGCTTTGAGTGCTGGCTAAGGACATGGGCTTTGTCTTGAGGGCACTAGGGAACCACTGAAAGGTTTTAAGCAGTGGAAGCAAGATGAACTAGTGAGTGTTCTAGAAGGATCATTCCAGGAAGAAAAGGAAGGGACCAGGAAAGTGAATGGAACAGAAGAAACTCAACCAGTGGTGCTCAGAGTATTGGCCCCAGACCAGCAGCTTCAGCTAGGAGCTTGTTAGAAATGCAAAGTCTTAACCCTGCCAGCCCGCCTCAGACCTACTGAATCAGAAACTGAGGTTGGGCCCAGCAATCTGTTTTAATAAGCCCTGCAGGGGATTCTGATGTTCCCAAAGGTTTAAGAACAGCTGGACCAGAGGTTGTATGGGCAGCTAAAATTTTATTCAAATACTTCAGAGAAGCAGGGAGCATAAGCCAGACCACTGCTGATATTAAAATATTAGCCTGTATATCTTATTTCATTACAATTATTTCAATGCATATAATTATCAACAATAATGCTATAGTGTGTAAGAATTTCCATTTTTCAGATCGGGAAACTTGGGCCCAAATAAGTTAAAGCAAAGGTCACACTAATTTCTCGCCTACACAGGGACACCTTTGAAAGGGAGAGGAGATGCTAACAATCCTCACACAAGGTTGACAGCCTGACAAACCACTGGGACAGCCCTGGGCAAATCAGGACGTACATGATCAGCCTGCCGCCCAAACCCAGCACCAGAGGCCCCAGTGTCTGTGCCGCTCCTACAAACGCACAATCTGCCGTGGAGAGTCTGCTTCCTCTTGTCAGCTGGGGGTGGGGGGAACTACGAGGGCCTGGGGGGCCAGGGTTCTGGACACTGCCTAATGGGTTTTCTCCAGGAGGATTGGGAAAGATGGGAGCGACTGACACAATTGTTATCCATCTGTTCCTTGTTAAGGTCTGGGCAACCTGACCTTAAGGTATTTTATTGCTAGTCCAAAGCCTAAGCAGTGTGTCACAGTCTTATTAGGAAATACTGCAAAGGCCAGAACAAAAGGAGCCTGTGAGACCTCCCGGCCCCTCTGGAATAGCCTCCCGCAGCAGCTGTGTGCTCTGGGGGCCGCAGCCACACTCGGAGGCTTAGATGAGCTCTGCTGCACAGGAGCGCCAGTTCCCAGGGAGGCACCGGCCACCGCCACCACCCTGAGTGCCTGGGAGTCTGCTGGTGTGTAAAACACTGGCGCACTGCTGCTCACTGGCGTCCTCCAGGCCCCACACCCGCTCCTGCAGGAGGGGTTGTGCTTGCCCCCTCGTCAGATGAAGAATTTGAGACACAGAGGAACAGAGCAATTTACACAAAAGTCGCCAGCCAGGGCCTAGCTGGCCCAGCCTGTCCTTCTCTTCAGCACTCTACCATTTATTGACTTAGAACAGAAAAACTTGTCAATTTGCTTGAAAGACAGTAAATTTGAATTTACATAATTTTTTCTTCAATTTTTAGGAGAAAAAAATAGGAGTCGGTCTTTAATGCTTTGATTAAGTCTATTCTTTTATTATTCCTAGTTTACTAAAGTGAAAAAATGGAAAAGTTATCCAGTCCAAATTCTTCTGACTCTGAGGTCATTGTGCAATCCAGTGGGCCGAGGCAACGATAACGCCTCTGGAAATGGCCGTGGCCTTTAGCATCCATTGTGTATGTGCCAGGCACTAGCTGACACGTAAGATGGGTAACCTCATTTAACCCCCTCTTTCCAGATGAGAAAACTGCAGCAAAGAGGCAGCAAGGCCTTCCTTGAGGCCACTGACCCAGTAAGGGGTACAGCCAAGGTTCAAACCCCATCAGATCCCAAAACCAGTGCACAGGGAGGGCAACGTCCTGTTCAATTTACTATCTTCAATCTTGTTAACATCTTCTGGTGCCAACTCCTGTACAAGGGACAGGAAAAAATACCCATCCCTTGAGATTACTCCATACCTTTTTTATTTTACCTTAAACTTCTATCCCCTCCTACCCCTTCCTCCCTCTCTGCCGATGACCTTGTGTCTCTTGTCACTGAGAAAACAGATACACTCTGAAGACAACTCCCACACACTCACAGCCCTGCCCCTACCCACTGCCCTGCATCCACGCCTGCGTGCTCTGCCATCCTTCCTGTCACAACAGGGGGTCTGTCCTGTGCTACTGAAGCCAACCTCCCCAGGGGTAGCTTAGGCCCACTCTGTCTCACTTCCCTTGGAAACTGATGGCATAATTGTCTCCCTTGTCTCCTACACTATCAAATTTCCCCTTCATCTTTCCCACCAGCATGTGAATACCTGGAGAATGTGTTTGCAAGATGCTCACTCACATGGCTGTTGACTGGGGCCTCAGTTCCTCGTCAAATAGACCTCCTCCTTTTTTAGCTCCTTAAGTATCCTCACAACATGGCAGCTGGCTTGCCCCAGGGCAAGCAACCCAACACCAAGCGCAGGGAAGAATCTATGATGCCTTGCATGACCGAATTTTGGAAGTCACACGGGACAGGGGAATCAGGCTGCACCGACTGGAGGGGGAAATGTCCCTCCACAAGGAATTTGTGAATCTATTTTAAAACCACCAAAACTACCACCAGAAATGCCTGTAATGCCTCGCAGGCAGTCTTGGGGGAGGGCACATCATATCAGGTGAAATGTCCTGCCTCAATTCAAGCTTCTGTGTTCCGGATTTAATGTACTCAGCACTGCAGAGTATACTTAGCTTCTGAATGCAGGTAGATGGATGCTGCCTTGTAAGTATTCGGGCCAGGAGCAGCCGTCCCGATCATTGAACTGACCACCTCACTTTACAGAAGGGAGAATGGAGGCACACAGAGAAGCTGCAGCTTTCTCAGGACTCCCCAGAAAGTCAGTGATTGCCCAACTCCCGGGCAGAAGTTTTCCCAGTATTCCATACAGCTCTGTCTGTCATGGGGCCTTTTCCAAAATCAGGTTGAGATATGCTAAGAAGAAAATAAGCTCTAAAGAGGATTATTTCAGGGAAGATGGAAACAAATCTAATTTAAGGGCTTCTCAGGAACTGCTAAAACCCAAAGATGAGCTGCCCTCCTTCCAGGGCACGGCCAAGGGCACAGCTGGCCAGGATGGGAGGCAATGGGAATGAGCTCCCAGCTGCTGCACAACCGCGTCACGGTAGCCCAGGCAGCAACTTGCTGTGTGTTGATTGAGAACCTTGACACAAAAACTCTGCTATGGGGATGTTTTTCTCAGAAACTTGGAAACACAGGGATCAGCTCAATTCAAGAATATAAAGAGAGTTTAAAAAATCAGACCAAGGTAGCTGAGAGAATATTTTACATTGTTTTCCAGGTTGATTATTATGTACTTTATATGTTTATGCATCATTATGCTCCATGATAAGTTGACATTATTTATACATTTATGCGTCTTTGTGCTTTATAACAATGTGACATAATAGCACTTTGTAGTTTTTAATTGCATGGGTCGTGTTGGAGATTTTTACCTCCCGGATCCTATCTAATGTTTCCAAGAGCTCTAGAATAGCAATAGCATTCTTGCCATTGCGCTACAAAGTGGTGGTGGAGGAGCTCGCTGCACAGGAGTCGGGCTGCCTCGGTCCGAATCCTGCCTCTACCTCGTCCTGTGACTTTGGGGAGACGGCTCCACCTCCCTATGCTTCAATGTCCTTGTCGATAAAATAAGAACAGTCTTACTTAGTTCCTGCCTCGTGAACTTGTTAGGAATGATGAACGAATTGACATTGGGACAGCATGACCGGCCCTGGTGCCCCGTGAGAACTGGTGCCCTGTGACTCTTAATGTTGCCAGATGGTAAATGTCACACGTTAGCTCTTTAGGGCCAGGGGCTCCAGTTAAGTGCCTGGCCCAAGATCACACAGTAATCTGACCGACTTCCCAGACTCAAGAAGTTGGATTAGAAGATCTCTGAGGTCCCACTCAAATAATTATGTGCCTCAAAAGTTTGGGAATAAACTGTAAACGGACGTACAGAGTCAGTCACATTTTGACTCCATCAAGTTCACAAAGACCAAGATGGGGAGAGGACAGTTGAATCCTCACAACACTGGGAGATGGGTACTGTTCTTCTCCCTATTCTACAGATGAGGAAGGTGAGGCACTCAGAGGCCACCAGGTGACACTACAAGAGAGCAGCAGAGCCAGGTTCAGACCTGGGCACTCCAGCTGCAGAGTCTGCTGGGTTTAACCACCTCCCTGCATCCTGACAGACAGCTTTCCTGCAGTGACTTTGATTGAAATGTTGCTGTGATGAAATGCTGGATGAAAATCTATCGGCAGCAATGTACTGAATTCTTCATTAAGATACTGGGCCATCTGCATTCACTTACCAGTCTGGATCGGTGCAGCCTGTGTTCTATATTCTGTGTGCCAAGCACTGGGCTGGGAGACGCAGGCATTAAAGAACCTGAACAGCCACGTTATACATTTTTTTCATGCACTGAATGTAGGGCTGCCTGCTCTTCCCTGAATCTGCGATGTTCACTCCTGCTTTTGTGCCTTTGCCATGTTCTTGTTTCTGCCTACAATGGGCTCCACCCACACCTCCATTTGGATAAAGCCTATTCTTCCAGATGTTCTGCTCTCATCACCTCCTCTCTGAAGCCCTCTCTGATTTCCCCAGGCAGAGTGGCTCTCTCCTTTCTGAACCCTTAGACTTTACACTTTCCAAAGCTGTAGCACTCGTCAGCATGTACACAGCTCCCCAAGGTAACACAAGTCCTGTCTCTTCATAGCCTTTCTATAATGAGTGCCCGAGGGCAGGAATTGGATTTTACTTAGTTGTGAACCTGCTCTGCACAGGGTAGGATTGGCTCATGGAAAAGGCTTGATGTGCATAAATTGCCTGATAAAATAAAGAAAAGACCCTTCCCCCACCCCCAGAGTTTCTGTGATGTGACAGTTTTCTCCAGAATGGGTGGTTTTCAAGCCAGAAGGTGACTCTTCCACCCCTGCCATGGCAAACAGCTCTGTGAGAGTTTGGCTTCCTGGAATTTTTCCTATTTTTTTCCTTTAAATTGCATCCCAAATGTTTCCTATTTGTTTGACACCTCATAATTCCCTTCCTTCTTTCTCGTCTAATGGCTGCAGGCTGTTTCCACTTTATCCCTGCTCCTCAGAAAGTTCTGACTCGAATTGACGTCCTCTCATCAACCGGGCCCTGCGGGCGGCAAGTTCTGGTTTGGGGCATTTTCCTGAAATGGCAGCATGGACAAAATCATGGGCTTTGAGCTTTGTTGTTCATTTCCTGGGTGTTCTTATTACCTCACTTTGCTAAACCTCACTTTCCTCATCTGTAAAATGGGATTGCCCACCCCTTCCTCTGTGGGATGTTGTGAGGATTCAACAAGTTGTAAATGTGTGGAGTATTAGCACATATTAGTCACTCAGAAAAGTGATCCAGAACTTTTCCCATGCAGACAAGAGTTGCTTTTTACTGTAATGCAATGTTACCCATAAAACAGGGAGAAGAATACACACTGTCTGCAGTGACGAGAAGTAAATATGTAGAAGCTACTCAGTTATTACTGGAGTGCATCCCCATCCAGCCCTCCCCCTTGACATCATGTGGTTAAGCAGAAGCCCACAATGTAGATCACATTTCCCTGAGGCCCAATCACATTGCCCCGCACCTACTGTTACTGACACAGAAGCATAAGGATGTATAATTGCCATGGGAACAAGCAGGGGGGAAGTGTGATGAACTCTGCTTGGGTGGGGGGTGAGGGCAGGGCAAGCTTCAAGCGGCTGAGACCAACAGGGAGAGAAAGTGGAGGGAACGAATAAAGCATGACTCCCTCCTTAGACCTCCAGTCTAAAAGAGGAAGCAATCATAAGAAAAGGGACTCAGGACTCTCCACTTACCAGAAGGAATTACATATAGGACAGCAGAGAGGGCTTTGAGGCAGAAACCCAGGTTAAGTCCTGGCCACACCATTACTAGCTGGTCAACCGTAGGCAAATGTCTGGAACCCTTTCTTCCTCTGTAAAGTGAGTTGGATAATCCACTTTCTAGAACATCAGAGTTTTGCATAAAGATCACACAAGGTCACTAGTGATGTGGACACACAGTTCAAACAACAGCATGGTGTTCCATTGGCAAGGAAATTTTTCATCATCTTGTAGCCTGTTTTCAATCATCAAGCCTCTGGGTCCCCTGCCAGCCCACTTTGCCAAGAATCCCTCCAGATACCATCTCAAATGCTTTGTCCAAATCACACACTCTAGGAGGCTTTGGTAAGAAGACTAGAGACTACAAAAAGCTCACATGCTCATCTGGGAGACTTTGACCCTTAGTCACCTTTGCTGTTCCCTGCAGAAGAACGATCATGTAAGGACGGAGGGGAGAAGAGTCACAGAAGAATTAGAAAGGGACACGGTTGTCATTCTCTGTGCGCCTCTGCCATAAAGGCTAACCAGTTTTACTTTTTAAATTGGATATGAGTTCTTGACAGGTGGGGTCGTGAGTAAGTGAAATTGTATTTGAATATCCACGTATGTTGCATGCAGAACCCTGGACCCACGCCTAGGCAATTCTTTCATGCGCTGCCATCCAAGAGGAGGTCTCATTTGAAAACCAGCAACTGATATTCCTTCCCACCCACTGTAAACAGAACCCTGATCCAGGAATTCACTCTGGTGCCCTGCTGGTGGGCATTAGCCAGTGTGGAACAATTCATCACAACTGATGATCACAGTGTCAGAAGGAAATTTTCTTCTGTCCCCAAGCCCTCATAATAAGAGTAGGCACTCAATAAATGAAACCAATAATTATGTGCTCCACACTTTACATACCTTTCTCTGATTCTCATAACAATTCTGCAAAGTAGCTATCTTTGTCCCCATTTTACAGATGAGAATGTTGGTAAAGTTACTATTGAAGTGACCCTCCACAGCAACAGTGACAGATTGCAGACTGGGACTGAGGTCTGTCATCACAACTCAGCAAGTATTTCTTCAGTGTCCACTACGGAAAAAAAAAAAAAAACACTTTACTATGCATTGGGGATACGATGATGAACAAAATAGGTTTTATTATTGCTCTGGTGGAGCTCACAGCTTGGAAGTGAAAACAGATTACTCACACTTACAATCACTTCTTAGCCATATAGGGGAAATAGATGTTTCCAAGGTAACATACAGCCTGGGGGTTTAACCTGGAGTGAGTGAGAGGAGATAGGATGGTCAGAGTGAATCTTCCCAGAGGAAGTTATATATAAACTGAGTCTTCAAGGATGAGTAAGAATAAGCAAAGAGGTGGGGATGTTTGGAGGACAGAGCCTTCCGGGCAGAGGAGGCAGAGAGGGGAATGTTTAAGGCAAAGGAGAGAGTAACAGGAAAACCTGGATGATGGGCAGCTGGCAGGGGTGTGCAGGAGCTCAGACTTTCTCCTGAGGACACTGAGGGGCCTCTGAAGGTTTTGCGCAGGGACAGATATACACAGATTTGTGTCCCCTGCCTTTACTACCCCTCCCCCATCCATCCTCCTGGCTGCTGCCTGAACAGACATGCGCCAATACATTGCAGGGTGGTCGGTGGTCCAGAACAGGGCTGCTGGTGAGTGGGATGCAGCAGAGATGGAGAACAGAGTATGAACCGAGGGGGCTAACTCTGAAGCCCCTGAAATGCCCCAGCTCATGTCAATGTGGGTGCTGGATCAGGGGTATTATGAAAATGAAGAATGAAAATAAAGAGAAGGGACCTGAGGGACTCATAAGTGAGGGTGTTGGTTTGAATTATGTTGTTGCCAATGTGTTCATATTTCCTTCCTTGTTTCTTCTTTTTCTTCCCCTTCAACCATACACATGAAGATATAAACTAAAGTGTTCTCTTTTAAAAGTTTATATGGGATCATAACCCTGTTTTATACATGGGAAAAGGCTGACTCCCAGTGGGTTTTCTGCATTTTCATATTGCCATAATTCAAACAATGTGATGAATCAACTTGCTGTAATTTCTGAAGCTGGGCTCGGAGAGGCTGAAGTTTATGGGGACTTTATGGAGCTGTTCCCTGGGGCTGGGTGGCAGCCCTTGGGGGAAAATGGTATTTTCTGGCTGGACAGAGGAGGGCACAACATTTATGGAGTGTTCCCAGTGTCCCAGGTCATTGACCCCTCAGGAAAGCAACGTAAATGTTGTTTCACATGTAAAGAAAGCTGAGGGGTTACGTGACTGGGCCGTGGACACCCAGCTGCTGAGGGGCGGAACCTGGCTGGCTCCAAAGTCAGCATTCTTTCCCTGACAGCACATGCCTCCCAGGAGCCAGTGACACATCCCAGTGGACCTGGCTGTGAGAGGGAGGAGCCTTGAGGGATGTTTTCCCTGTCTCTTCAGCTTTTCCAGATTTTTGTTCAACCTGAGCAGGCCCCTCGCTGTGCTCTGACCATCCCTGCTCAGGTACAAAAGGGGGCTGCCTTCATTAAAATGAGTCTTTCCCTTCTGACCCCAAAACCTTCCCAAGCTGACACAGAGCTTCTGGCTTCTAGTCTTCGGTCAAGGTCCAGGGCTCATTCCCCATGGCTCACTTCAGAGAGATCATTCAGCCAATGAACAACGGAATTTTGTGTCCCATCTAAGAATCTCTCACAAATCTGAGCAGATAAAAGGGAAAATTCAGACCCGAGACTCAAAGTGGCTTAGGGATTGCTCTGCTGCCTGTGGAGTAAGTCAGCATTACTCTCCCATTTTACACATGAGAAAACTGAGACGTGCAACATGGGAGTAAATTGCCCAAGATATTTACTGACAGAGTCAGGCGGTGAGCCTAGGTCTCAAATATAAAAATAGGCAGCATGCTCTTCAGCAGCAGCAGGTGTTCAAAACGTGTTTGTTTGCTTGCTTCCAGCTCTCCACTTGACCTTTGTCCCTCGCTTGGGAAAGGGGACATCCATTGGCATTTCCCAGAGTGGAAGCAGCTGCTCCCTGTCTGTCTGTGCCTGCATCCCTAAGCTGCACCATAAGTGGACCCTTTAAGGAATTAACAAGCTCACATATGGTGCAGGGTAGACTGGGAGCCTGGACTAAGGAGTCATAAAAGATTTTTAAGAGGACTTTATAGGAGCAAGCCCTCCAGCAGGGCAAGCAGTGAGGTAAAAGGTGGGGGTTGAGAACTGAGCAGCCCTAGGAGGTGCGAAGTCAGCTCTGGTGGAGAGAGAGTTGCTCTGAAAAATCAAATCCCCCACTGGAGAGCACTGAGCCCAAAGCCAGGCTGGGCCTGAAGACAGAAGCTCTGACTCTCTTTCACCATGAGACCGAGGGCCGGTTCCTCCCTTCTGAAGCCTATCTGTGCACTAAAGAATCGGCATGTACAAAAGTGCTCTAAAAAAGAAAACAAGAAAGGGGACGAGGTGGGGGAAAAGGATGGAAAGATTGGTTCAGGCAGCTAAGGTCCACTGTGGGCCATCACACCCTCACTTCACCCTGGGCCCTGTGATCAGGCTACAAATATGCATCTTCGTGCCCCCAAACCAGCCGCGCACATGCGTAGTTGTACATTGGTTTTCCCTGCTAAAAGGAATGTTCTTTTCTCTCCTCTCCCTGGAAAGGTCATCATCCATTATTCTGTTCTCAAGTCCCATCACCTCCTCCATGAAGTCTTCCCTGACTCCCTCTCACCCTCAGACACAGGCACTCACACCTCTGAGTTTTTACAGCATTGTATAAACCCCAAGGACAGCATTTGTCATGTATTTTTATTGTAATAGAATGAGTTGTTTAAAGCTGCTATTTAAGAAACCCTTATTTTGGGGGCCAGACATAGTTTTACAGTTGTTTCACAAGTTATATCATTTAAGTTTAATTCCAATGCCATAAATTACATATTATTTTCATAACTTTAAAAATGAGGAAACTAAGTCCCATGAGGTTGGGGATCTTCCTATTGTGCGACCTTGGGCAGGAGACAGTGCCTGTATTGGGAGCAGGCTCGGACCCCGCCATACTTCCAGACTGCTTACCTTGAACAAAGAAGTAAGACTAGGTGATGACTGAAATAATGAATGAATGTGACCATTGAGTGGAGAGGGCTTAAGTGAGAAACAGCCTTAAACAAGCATCTTATTTTGCTGCGACCATCTCAGAACACCTCCTCTCAAGGACGAAAGCGAGCCTTAAGCATCACGTAATTTAACCAAAGGGAAATGAAGTCCCCACCCCCTGGGCAGGCAAGGGGCTGGCCCAGGTCACAGAGCTGCTTCTGGCACCTGCCCAACAGCATTTCCCAACTTTCGTTGGGCAACCTTTTCCAAAATCTCCTTTCCAGAGCTCCACATCGGTGACGGGTCTGTTTTTCTTCCCGGCAACAAAAGCCTTTCTGTGCTTGTCCTTAGAGACACAGCAAGCACCAAACTTCTCTATTTCTTGGTTGCATTCTCCCAATTAAGCAAAGAAGCCAAGCGAAGACTCCTTGAGTCAAACTAATTGCATCTTAGCAGGCTCTGTGCTGCCAGCTTTAGCCCAGAGTCAGATTTTATAGGCCACTTAGCCCCACACCCGGGGTTTATGGTGGAAACCCTGACAAAGCTGCACTGATAAGGCAGCAGAGAACCCAGGAGACAAGAAAACCTAGTAATTTTCCAGAGTCAAACCCAGCCTCCACTCCAAGGGCCCCTTACCAGCCAGAACTCTGAAATGTCAGCCAAGAAGACCCTGGCAGGGACCTGTTGGTTTCCACCTCAGTGCACTCAGGATATTCAGTATGACACTTTGCAGGGATTTTTAATGACCAGTTTCTCCTTTAACATCACCTGGAACAAAATTAGTGTTCCCATTCTTTGGATTGCCCAATCATTCATTCATTTGTTCATTCATTCATCAGATTCTCAACAACTATGCCAGGCTTGTGCTGGGCCCTAAAGAGAAGTATTGCATGGGTGGTTAATTTTAACTCTGTTCTGTTAGGATGCAGTTTGTGCACTGCACAACTATAGGGGGTGCCATTCAGGCTGATTGGGTTGCCCACAGCACTTTGCCCTTACCTCTAACAGAAACTGCCTTGAGTGCCTATGGTCTTCTAAGCCATTGCTTCCTAAGCAAGGGCGATTTTTGGTATTTGGCAATGTCTGGAGACATTTTTGATGGTCCCAGCTGGGAAGAGTGCTATTGCCATTTAGTGAGTAGAGGCCAAAAATGCTGCTAAACATTCCACAGTGCATAGGAAAGTTCTCCATGACATAGAATTATGAGGCCCAAAATGTCAACAGCAGATCTGGCTTCATGGGCAAGCAACCTGTACAATCAACAGGACCCAACTCTGTGGAGGGTCCCAGATTTGGCTTAATGCTTTGCTGTTGCCATATTGAGATTCTTAGCAACTTTTTAAACAAAGGGTTCTCTATTTTCATTTTGCACTTGGCCATACGAATTATGCAGCTGATCATGGTCAATGTGTGGATGCTGAGAAACGCTTTTCTAGACTCTGAAATAGGGACATAGAAATAAAGATCTCATTCCTGCCCACAAGGATCCATAACCCAGCAGGAGAGGGGATTGTGTGCCTTCTTGTCTGCGTGCCTGAGAGGGGAAAGCCAGAGAAGGGAGAAGCTGGCCTGGCTTGAAGGGGCAGGAAAGGCAAAGTGTTACTTCTGCTAATGTTTGAGGAATGAGTAGAAAATAACCACATGGATGGGGGAAGAAGGGATAAGAGAGAAAGAGGCCAAATAAAGAAACAGGATGTTTGAAGATGCCAGGATCTGAGAAAGCAGGGGTTGTGTCAGGGGCTCTAGGCAGAAAATGTGAGACCAAAGTACAAAATGTGATGTGGTGAAGAGGTAGGGGATGAAACTGGAAATCTAGAAGGATCCAGGTCTCATTCATATTAAGGAGCTCTTGAAAGATTTTACATAAGGTAGTGACATTAGATTCAATTTTAGAAATGCACTCAGAGGTGGTGTGGCAAATGGGTTGGAGGGATGAGACACTGAACAGGGAGACCAGTTAAGGGGCAGGCATAGTGAAAAAGCTGAGAAA